TGGTACCTTCTGATCCGGACTTCCCCTTTGAGCTTGAAAGACTACAGTGTATTATGCAAGTCCCAAGCTCATACCCAAAAGGGCGACCCAAGCTTGCAGTGACCAATTCTGAAATGGAAGCTCCTTATCAAGCAAATATCGCCAGAGGCTTCGATGATATTGTCGATTTTACGTACCGCACCAATGGCCGAGGAACTCTTTTGGCCTGGTTGAACAATCTAGACAAAAAGCTCGAATCATTGCTAACCACCCTGGAGCGTGGGCCAACGCTGAAGTTCTTTGCTAACCTTGGTGATGGAGCCACAGCTAAAGAACCCACCAAGGCCCAGGAGAAGACTCTAAGCCAGCCAAGCCCGTCTGAAGGCCATGTTAAAACGCCCAGTGCTGCTGCTAAGCCAACACCACAAGCGCGAACTGTAGCACCTAGGCACACAGCCGAAGCAAAAGCTGCAGCTGAGAAGAGGCGGGCAACTGAGACCAAACAGCTCGAGGCGCGCCTTGGAAGACTGCCGATGTACCAAAAACTGCAAGATGGCAGGACTTATGTTATTCCCATCCAGCCAACTAAAAAGGATCGCCTGCCGCGAACACTTCAAGCACTCAAGACCGTGAGATTGGTTGTGCCACAACTCTACCCGCTCGAGCACAGCTCAATCAAGTTGCAGGGAGTTGAAGGCCCCGAAGTGAAAGCCACAGAAGTGGGATTCACCCAATGGGTAGAGCAGACTTCGCAGTTGAGTCTGGTATCTCAGGTCAACTACCTAGCGAGCAATATCCATAAATTTGCTGAAACCCCCTTGCCAAAGGAGGAGGAACCCACTGAAGCCGTACCTCCCACTGTTGAAGAGGAAGAGGAAGAAGTCGTGGAGGAGCCCACAAAAGCAACTGCCGCATCCTCAACTCAAGATAATGAAGACAGGCCACATCTTGTTGTCATTCCACGCCCACCCGAATGGTCGGTTCCTAATCCCACCAGCGGCGCCGAGGGGACATCAGGCGAGTCTAGTTACGAGGAAGACGAGTATTCAGATGAAGAGGAAGATGAGGAAGGCGGTGCACCCGTCCCTGCATCAGTGGATAACAATGCGCCCGGACGAGGCGTCGCACTTTCTTTTCCTTTCTTAGAGCTTTACGGAATTGAGTTGCTGGAACTCACAAGCCTCAATATCACGGTCAAATGTGATAGGTGTAAGGTGGCAGTCGACATCAAGAATGTACCACAAATTACCGATGAGAAGGGCCACATGGCGAAAATGGAGTCATGCAGGAAATGTGCTAATAATATGAGTGTCGGTGAGTATACACTAAATCTCATTCTCATTTTCAGGATGGATTACTGACTCCCATGTGCAGCATTTCGGAAGCAGTTGATGCATTCCCATGCCAATCGTGCTGGCTACCTTGAATTGGGCGGCTGTACGATTGGGGATATGCTTCTTAGGTTGGTTCACCCATCGATATCAGTAAAGCGCCATCTGTTGACTCATTTTGTTATAGCGACTTCATCCCAACGTGCTCCGAATGCTCGACCCCCCACCCGGCACCAGGTATACCTGCAGTTCGCGGCGAGAGTGCTATGGGTATATGTCGCCAGTGCCATCGCAAAATGGGTATGTTCTAATACACAGTGTCTGTCGTTTGGCTATTAACATATCCGAAATCTAGTATTCAAGATTCCTGAGGTCAAATTCCTTCTAGTTGGAAGTGCCACAAGTAAGTTCTGATATATCGAACTCGATACAGACACTTTTACTCATTACTATATTATCTAGTCACTTCTCGTGGAGGCCTCCCTGCCAAAAGAAAGGTTCGTTCAATCTACAACCCATTATCATGATAAAATCTAACAATTATCCCAGCCTCAGGAAGTCCTCGGTATTGTCGCAGGACAAGAACTTCCGCGACGCGGTCGTTGCCAGCACTATGCCAAGAGTCAACGCTGGTTCAGGTATGTGATCCGCTATCGATGAGTTGGTAGCACTCGACAAACAGATTATACTGACCCCCTACAGATTCAGCTGCTGCTCAAAGGTCTTCCCTTGCGACAAGTATGATTACCCACTGGATATAACTACGTACCTCTTCATATGCTTACTGACTTATCTAGATGCCACGACGCGGAAACCGATCACCCGAACGAACACGCAAATCGTATGATATGTGGCTACTGCTCCCGCGAGCAAATCTATAGACCCGAGAACTGCGGTATCTGTAAAGCGGTCCTGATTGGAAAGGCAGGTAGTGGGTTCTGGGAGGGTGGAAAAGGAACAAGAAATCGGGCTCTGATGAGTCGGAAAGGTATGTCATTCACCTCAAACTTCCTCTGAGTGCACTCGTCTAATGGGACTCTAGATCCGAGGAAATTCAAGCGGGTTGGAGGCAATCCTCCCACTTCGAGTTCATCGAAGCGGAAGTAAATGAATAATTGAGACTAGAACTATTGAATATTTCACCATGGCTCTAAGAGTGTTGTGATAGGCACCTTCAAGTTTATCATCTCACAAAACCTTCTTTCAATCCAAGTAGCGCAAACCCAAACATAACATCATCAATATCTCATTATCACCTGCCTTAGTTATTCGTAAAAAAAAGTCAGTTACTCGCCGAATACCCGTACAACCAACATTGAAACTCAACATCTACAAACACCTACAAAATGCCCACATACATGATATTAAAGTAGTATGCGTTGCTTCTTTTGGTTGTTAGGAATGGGGCTCAGGAAATTTATGAGATCAGTTAGTTGCTTCACATTGGTGGGTTTAGATTAGGTGTCCAATATTCCAAAATTGCTTCAGTTAAATCTGTTGTTTCTCCCAAGGCATATAAATTGTCAGCTGGAAGACACTCAACACCACACTTACCCCATTTTCACTGGGCATAGCCTTTTTGCTAGCTGGGGGTCAGTTCCATTTACCAATTACCACTAGGAAGCCGGAGTCTACAAAAGCTGACGATCCCATATCTCCCAAGCAAGTATCTACCGACTTAGGTTACAAACCTCGACGGACGGTGAAATGATCCAAAAGTTGAAATTGTTATTGAGGGAAAGCCCCTAATTCGCTAAATGCATGCAAATTCTCAAACTGCAAGTGCTCATCAAGAAAAATGGAAAATGCCCGCCTATCCAAATCTTTTAGTCCTTAAACCAAGTTACCGCGGAGTTCCTGCTCTCGTTCGATAGCCTCGAATAGTGACTTGAAATTGCCAGCTCCAAAGCCTTCGAAGTTGTGTCGCTGAATAATCTCAATGAACACAGTAGGACGATCCATCATGTGCTATTTATCTGGTTAGTATAAAGTTATGAATAATGGGGTCAATAATCTCCACATACCTTAGTGAAAAGCTGAAGCAGATAGCCACCCTCATCGAAATCAATCAAAATATCCAAGCTGCGGATGGTCTCGAAGCTTTCCTGCAGTACCAAGCCAGACTGCTTCAAGCGAGCTTGCATATCCGTGTAATATGTCTCAGGAACCTTGATGAACTCGACACCACGTGCCTTCAGATTGGTGATATCACGGATAATATCGTCGGTGTGAAGGGCAATATGCTGTACACCGGCACCGTTGTAGAAGTCCACGTATTCCTCGATCTGGGATTGCTTCTTGCCCTTTGCTGGCTCGTTGATGGGCATCTTGACGATCTCGTTGGGTGAGGCCATAACCACACTACTCAAAGCCGAGAACTCACTATAATTATGAGGTAAGTTATGGTGTCTAGTGATAAGCTGAAATATATGAGAACAACTTACGTGGAGATCTCGTTGTCATCGACGGACCAGAAACGGTGGAAGCCAAGAGCCTTCTCATAGCTAAAAGGTGGTATCAGTAAATGAGACTCAATCAAATAATCCGGGCCAAACCTACTATTCACAGATCTTATCCATCTCATTCCAGTCCTGGTTACCAACACAGTGATCGATATGTTTGAGATGAACACCAGGCAGGAACTGTACAATGGGATCCTCATTGCCAATCTCGGCACGGTAGCCTGGAATAAAGACACCACGGTATTCACTGCGCTCAATAAGGGTATGGGTGGTCTGGCCATAAGTTTGGATGGTAGCAGTCTTGAGATGGCCACTCTTATCTTCAAGGACCTTAGGGTTAGAGATAGCCTTGGCACCATTCTTCACAGCAGCAAAGAAGACATCATCGACGTTGTCAACCTCAAAGGCAACATCCTTGACAGCATCACCGTGTTTCTCAAGGTGGTCATGGATCTCCCGTAGCTCGGCTTGCTCTTCGGGATTGAAACGGTCGATTTGATCAAGAGACCGCAGAGGGGAGGTCAGGATGAAGGTGATATCACCATTGCGGATAACATGGGAGCAGATGTTGCGGCTGCCAGTTTCAAGGCCCTTGTAGGCAATACGCTTGAAGCCCATGCGGGTGATATAGTAGCTTGCAGCTTGCTTGGCGTTGCCAACGTACCAGTGGACATGGTCATAGCCGCGATAACTGGCCACTGAAGATGCCTCGGCGGCAACTGAGGGAGGAGGACTATTGGAAATATCTGAAGGGGCCATATTGCTGGATCTTTATGTTTGTATGATGATATTGATGGGTGAAATGTAGAAAGATGGTAGTACAAGATGAGCGACGGTTGAGTTATTTGAGTTACTTGAGGTATTTGAAGTTAAGTCTAGGTACATTCCCGTTTCTTTTAAATGAATGATCGACCAGTAACCGCAATTTGTCTCGGCGGATATCTATCCCAAACGACTGTCTGACCTTTGGACGCCTTGTCATGACTCCCGGCCGTGCGGCTATTTCAGGACCCTGGAATATCCGGCTATATCCGGACCCGCTGAAGCCCTGTAGATCCTCGTAATATCCGAATACGCTTCTCTTAGATTCTCAACTCTTTGAGACATTTGGTTTCATTCTTCAACTATTCTGCACTGATCCTATTCTAAATTAATTCTCATTATCACGTCAACCCCTTCGCGTCGACCCCTTCAACTGAACACTTTCATCTCAACACGAAATCCTAAAATGACTTCGATCGCAACTGCTCGCCCATCATTGACATCTAATGATTCGGCTGTACTACAAGCTCTATTTGATGCCGAATCATCCCCATCGTCAGGAGTCATTGTTAATTCATCGCTCCCCTCATGGCCATCATCCCTGAACATCTCTGAAACAGACTTGGCGTCGCTCAAGAGGCGTGAAACAGACATCATCCGCAAGTTGCAATCAATCAAATCACCAAGTCTAGAGATAGTCCAGTCAGCACTGAACGACTTCGACACTCTCATCACTCAGCATCCAACATATCCCTCCGCATACACAAATCGCGCACAAACACTCCGTCTGCTGGTCGATTTGATCTACGGCACAGAAGTGGGTAGTGATCAGAGCACTGACACGGAGATAGCCGATGCTGCTCTCTTTGCCCCTAAGACATCCCAGCTGTGCTCCCGCATATTCTCTGACATAGGCCAAGCCATAACCTTGGCCACTCCCGCCTCTCCCGCCGATGCAGTCTCAACAACCCAGGGACGGTTATTGGCTGACGCGCACACGCATCGGGGATACTTACTCCTTAAAGCGGCACGTGTGAAGAAGGCTGGTTCTAGTATTGACGAGGCAGGACCGGAGCGTCTGCGTGGACTTTCAGCTGATCAGCTTGAGGAGATGGCTAGTCGGGATTTCTTCTTTGGGGGTCGCTATGGGAATAAGGTTGCGCAGCAGCTTTCTGTGCAGACGAATCCTTATGCTAAGATGTGTGGGGCTATTGTAAAGGAGGCGATGAAGAAGGAGCTTGAGGGGTGAAGATAATCAAGAATGGAAAATTACTTTAGATCCACATTTGGAATAGTGAAGCAGACTTTAATGTAACCTCATTTTTGAGAGATTTGATTTGATTGGATCCTGGTATCTTGCTATCTTGTCATGCTATAGAACTAGTTAAATTAGTTAACTATTTGAAACTGTGTACATGTGTCCTCATTGTAGTGCTCTGGCCCAAACAAGTCTAGGCCTTTTTGTTAGGGTTCACAAAGTGCCGTTTCAGAGGCTTCCAGCTGTGCTCGTTATATTCTGGCTGCACCTTTTGACAGGTTTTCAAACCCCACTCCGAGACACCGACCATGTGAGCACTAAATCATTGTCAGTAAATATAACAAGTCTCGGAACTGATAGACGAAATTGAACTAACCTTTCAAACATGAAAGCCATACTTCCATCGCCAACCTTTTGAGGCTTTAGCTCAGCATTGCTAGCCCCCTCGAAAGCACCCGAGTCGGGACCATGTGCACTCATGGCGTTGTGCAAACTCGCACCAGCAGGCTTGAAACCACCACCAACCTTTGCATCATAGTCACCAGAAATCAGACCCATAAACTCCGACATGGTGTTACGGTGGTACCACGGTGGGCGGAAAGTACCCTCCGCGACGAGCCAGCGAGGAGGGAAGATAACAAAGTCAGCCACGGCGGTACCAACGTGGTCCGATGGAGCCGTCAGCACGGTGAATATAGAAGGGTCGGGGTGGTCGAATGAGATCGAACCGATAACATTGAATCGGCCGAGATCGTATTTGAAGGGGTAGTAGTTGCCGTGCCAGGCGACGACATCGAAGGGGGTGTGGTTCTGTCGCGCGGCGAAGAGAGTGTTGTTGAATTTGCTGTAAAGCTTGTACTCGCTCTCCTCTTCTTCGTCGTCAAAATCAGCAACGGGAGCTTGGAAATCGCGTGCATTTGCCAGGCAGTTGGATCCAATGGGACCCAGCTCCGGGAGCTGGTAGTGGCCCTGGTATATTTCACAGATGTATCCTCGCACAGGGCCATCTGGGAGGGTCACTCGGTATCTGATGGAAGTGATTAGTTGTTGATTACGATATAACATCGATGGATAGGTATGACACCTACCTAACACCGCGAGGGATGACGCAGATCTCATTTGGTCGCACAATAATGCGACCGAGCTCCGTCTGGATGTCTAGCACACCGTGCTGAGGTACAATAAGGAAGTCTCCGTCAGCAGAGTAGAAAGCTTCCTTGCCCATGTCCTTGCCCGCGGCATACAACAAAATGCCTAATCCTTGCTTCTGAGTGGGGTCTCCAGATCCTGCAATCAAGTGGAGTCCATGCACCCAATCGACCTTCTCATCTAGATCGAAGGGGTTCCATCGCAGCTGGTTGGGGATGTGGTGAAGCTTCTGGGTCTCGGTTGTCATTCTCGTATGGTACGAGTCGGCATCTTCCGCGACGAAGTTCTCATGAGCTGCTGCGGGTAGAATCCGATAGACCCATGTCTGCTTATTCTCATGACGGGGTGCGGTGAATGCTGTACCCGAGAGCTTCTCGGCGTAGAGCCCATATGGAGCTTTCTGTGGGGAATTTTGACCGACTGGCAGAGCTCCTTCGACGGCTTCCGACCTATTTATTCATTAATTTGTGTTCGTTTGTGTTGGAAGCTATGTGTATACATACTCGTGATACGAATCGAAGCCCGTCTGGTACTTATAAGGATCGGGGTGGTTGAACTTAGTGACAGGCATATCGGCAGCGATGTGATGTGATGTGGTTTGGATAATGCCGACCTTTGTCTTCATCAAATACCCCAGCTCCACCCTCGGATCTCTCTCAAAGAAGCAAATAATCTGAAGTGTCACATCATTCCGCGGCAATCTGATAATTCCCGCGATTATCCATCGTTCCGCATCGGCTGAATGCGGGGGGAGCGGACAAATTCCGCACCACTTGGGAGCACTAAACATTATAGCTAGGTAGTTAAGGCCCGTAAACTTGTTTTCTCTTTCTCCAAACTCCTCAATCATTACTTCATCATGGCTTCCTGGCTTCAGATCCCCAAGAACTCGCCGTTCTCGCTCGCCAACATCCCGTTCGGCATCATCTCAACACAGTCTGTATCAAAGACAGCTGCGATTGCAATCGGCGACCATGCATTGAACTTGAGCGCATTCGCTTCGTCTGGAGGCTTCTCACAGTTGCCCGCTATCGAGCAACACCTGGCTGTTTTCAGCCAGCCAACACTGAATGACTTCGCTGCACTTGGTCGCCCTGTGCACCGACAAGTGCGCGAGTATCTACAAAACGTCTTCCGCACCGACACAAAGTTCCCACAGGTCCTTAAGGACAATGCCGCCCTCCAGAAGTCAGCTCTGCTGCCCTTGTCCCAGGTTACGAACCATGTCCCCATGCAAATTGGAGATTACACCGATTTCTACGCTGGTTTGAACCACGCCTACAACATTGGCGTCCTCTTCCGTGGCCCGGACAATGCGCTCCAGCCTAACTATAGACACCTTCCTGTTGCCTACCACGGTCGTGCCTCCTCAGTCGTAACTTCAGGCACTCCCCTCCACCGCCCCCAGGGTCAGATCTTGGCGAATCCCACCGCGGACCCCAAGGTGCCTACTTTCTCCCCTTGCAAGAAGCTCGATATCGAGCTTGAGCTTGCTTGCTTTATCAGCAAGCCCAATGATCTCGGCAAGCCTGTCCCAATTGACGAGGCCGAAGACCACATTTTCGGTCTGGTTCTCATGAACGACTGGTCCGCCCGTGATATTCAAGCTTGGGAGTACATCCCTCTGGGTCCCTTCAATGCAAAGAACTTCGGTACGACCATCACCCCTTGGGTGGTTCTGATTGATGCGCTCGAGCCTTTCCGCGCCGCCGGTTTGGAGCCTGCAAACCGCGAGTCTCTTCTCCCCTACCTGCGCGAGAAGCGCGCTGAGAGTGCCTACGAGATCCCCCTCGATGTCGAGGTCACCAACCCCGGCGGTCAGCCCACTATTATTTCTAAGAGCAACGCTCGCAACCTACTCTACTCGTTCCCTCAGATGGTTGCTCATCACACTATAACTGGCTGCAACTTGCGCACCGGTGACTTGCTGGGATCGGGTACTATCTCTGGTAAAGAGGCGAAGACTCAGGGTAGTTTCTTAGAACAGACCAACGGCAAGATTCCTCTCAAGCTGGCAGACGGCTCTGAGCGTATGTTCCTTGAGGACGGTGACACTGTTACTCTGCGCGGTATGGCTGGTACAGAAGGCAACTATGTCGGCTTCGGCGATTGTGTTGGCACTATCCTGCCTACGGTTTCGCTGCAGTAGATGACTTAAAAACCAAATTAAATGATCAATGTGTTATGTGATGTTTTCTGTTTTGTTTAATTCTACAATATAGAGCTTGCAATACAATATCTCAACAGTTCTATTCAGCCGATACAACTAGGATAAACAATTGCCTGCTGTACAACGCCATTTATAACTAGCACGGTGATGGAATATTCTAGAAACTTTAATTGAGAGTCAATTCACTACCTACAGCCTTTTTAGCTATTCCTTAATGCGAAACTCCTCGGGGGTATCATCCTGCGACCTCCAATGTCCCTTCTTAACAGCCTCCTCCATCTCCAAGTTCTTCACAATCTCATTCGTAACCGGGAACTGACTCAAGTCAACACCGAACCGCTGAGCTCCCCAGGCAGCAGGAATCAAACACAGATCAGCAATGGTAATAGAATCTCCAACACTAAACCTCCCAGCGGATTTCTTAACAACAGCCTCGTACGCCCTTAACCCATCCTCCATCAAATCTTTGGACCATTCCGCACGATCAACACCCAGCGGTCCAACCCGCTTTAGAATTCTGAGGTTTGTAACAGGCTGTATATCGCAAGAGATAATATCCGCCAGCGTGCGGACTACAGCGCGGCTCTCTGGGTCCGAGATCGGAGGGAGCAGCGCGGGTCCTTGTTCTGGGAATGCTTCTGCAAGATACTCAAGTGCCGCAAGAGACTGCGTGATTGTCACGGGTGCTTTGGAGTCGTGCTGGATTACTAGGGCTGGCACTGTTCCTGAAGGATTGATGGCCAGATGGGCTGGGGAGGATTGCTCGCCCTTTAGGAGATTCACGTAGATGGATTTGAAAGGAATTTGCTTTAGGTGTAAGGCTATCCGGAGTCTGGCGGAGCAGGAGGAACGGAAATAAGTGTGGAGAGTCACTGCGTCGGTCATTGTGGCTGAAGGATTGTGGTAGTATTTGATCGATGGGATATTGGAGTAGCGATGATATGAAAATGGACCTAGACAAGGAAGAGCGTTTGTGCTTATAAACCAAACTACACGAGTTCAACTACGATATAAGTTACTTTTCCCCAAACGCGGATCTTGTGTGCCGGTTTACCTTGGCCAGGTGGACTCCCTTGTACATGTAGAGTATGGAGGCGGAATGATTTCCGTTCAAGCCGAGTTCAAGCGCTGTACGCACATTTCGGCTATGAATCTCGGGGGATATCATTTTTATTACTATATTATTCTAATTATTTGCCTAGAATGTGGGCTATTCTACTTGTAGTGTACATCGTACTACCTAAATTGCACTAGAATTGTTGGGGCTTGAAGCATTGATACTCTGTGATATATATATATATATATATATATACGATTTCTTCTTCTATTGGTTTTTAAGTGTCGGTTCAACAAGGGTTGTCATCACCAATCAAATTCAGGCTAAATTAAAACATAATTCCATTCACAAAATATATTAAAATAAAATACATATGCATTGAGATTATTTTGATTAGTAGACTAATTCTCAGCTCTGGTCAAAAGTCCGATCCTAAAATGGAGAAGCTTATGCGGGGCCGACGGATATCGCCGGGTAATAATCCTTGCTTGACATCTCTTTGTCTCCCTGGAATTATCGATAGCATCACCAAATATCCACAGAATCCACAGAACCCACTTCAGGAGCGATCCTGGCTAATCCGCCCAGGCACGGTTGATGATGGATGGTGTCAGATCCTCCCGTCCGGACAAGCCGTATCAGCGCACTTACAAGGCATGCATCCCCTGCCGGCAACGAAAGGCCAAATGTGACCTAGGAACCGGCCCAGATGGTCTTCCGATCGGCCCACCATGTGCGCGCTGCCGAAGGGAACTAAGGGAATGTGTATTCCCCGAGAAACGCGCGTGGGAAAGGTCCCGCAAACGAGGTACGCTAGAATTAACTGCTTACCATATCTCAATCGGCGGGTACCTAACTGGTCAATTTCTAGCGCGGTCACCAGAGAGCTATGAGACGGATGTCTCACCCAGACAGGCCAGTCACCTTACGACGTCGTCGCCTGATACTTCTGTCCTCGCACAAGTACAGACCCAGAACACGCATCATGCAGGCGAAGTAGCCAACTCAACACCCGAGACCAACTTTCAGCGAGAGCCCAACTTTCAGTCGGGATGGTCATATCCTCGGGATCAAGCGGGCTCTCATCGTGGCTCCCTTGATAACCCTTCCGTAGGGCCCTCGAAGGCTAACCAGTCACCTTCTCATACATATGAAAATAATAGACACCGATCGAATTCTACCCTCGCTAGCTCTATGATGCGCACCGTCGTGTCAAGTGGCAATGATGCACTCAATATTCTCTTCGAAGCTGCAACTGCCCAAGAAGACAATAGTCCCGATACTAGCTCTGAATCACTAGCTGAGCCTCCATCGGCAGGTCCGAGTACTCAAGATCGAACACCCGGAAACCACGATTTCGTGTTTGAGTCGGTGGCGCGGGTAATACACCCCGTCAAGCTATCTGACGCCACTCAAGACACTCTCAATGTCTGGGAGGCTTGTCGCTTTGTCAAAATGGGCTGGTTCAGTGCTAGAGAGGCTGTGACTTTTATTGATTTGTATGTTCCCTCGCATGTTCCATGTCTACCAAATAAATGCTAACCCGAAGTAGGTTCTATAAGAATATGTCCTGTTTATCTCCGATCTTGACTGATTTCTACGCCAATAATCGGTATCACTACTGGCTGATTACTCGGGAGCCAGTTCTATGCTCTACCATTCTCATGATCTCTTCCCGCTATCACGTCCTTCCTGGAGCAGGGGGAGAGTCGAGGAATTTCTTTATCCACCACCGACTGTGGTCCCATTGCCAGAAATTGACGATGCGGCTAATATTTGGACAAGAAAAATCAACAAAATCCAAGGTGCGAAGTCTTGGTACTGTGGAGGCGCTTCTGTTGATGTCAGAATGGCATCCTCGCGCTTTGCATTTTCCGCCCGAGACAGATGGCTGGGACGATGATTTAATCCCGTCAGCCCCCAGGCACCATGATAATAACGAATCAAGCTCAGCACCTGGTAGTCGCGGGGTAGAAGATATAATTGAACCAGCACGCCGATCTGACCAAATGTCCTGGATGTTGCTTGGGTGTGCACTATCCCTTGCACATGAGCTGGGCATATTCGAGACAGAAGGAACCAGCTCACCAGATGACGAACCGGAATGGAGAGACCAGATGGCAATTCGTTGGCAACGTGTACAACGTCTGCTATATGTCTATATCAATCAGTTGGCTTGGCGCATCGGATGCATGTCACCGATTCCTCAATCATTAAACCATGCTATCCTAGGCGGACGGAAGCCGCAAGGGCTAAGTCCCCCGGGCAGCACGTGGCTGACGTTCATGGATTCATGGATTGAGCTTACCAAACTAGCCAAATCTGTCACTGATATGTTCTTCCCCTCTGCCGCATTTGCACGCCAGCAACTGCACAGCGGCCGATATGTAGGCCTTCTCGAACATTTCCGACCACTTCTCAATAACTGGAAAGACAAGTACCTACAGCCCCAGGTGCTTGACAAAGCATTCTACAACGATCTCTTCATCGAATACCACTTTGTCCGTGTCTACACCCATTCAGTGGGAATGCAAGCAGTAGTGGAGCGTGCTGTCGCAGAGAACGACCCGAACAACTTCGACGGAGTGCGACCAATGACCATCGACCCAACCGACTACGAATACATCCAAGAGGTGATCGAAGGATGTGGCCAGATCTTACAGAAAGTCACCCATCTAGCCGAAGCAGGGGCACTAAGGTTCTCCCCAGTCCGAATTGTTCTTCGCATAACCAGTGCCTCGATCTTCTTGATGAAAGCGCTCAGTCTGGGTACACGACAAGCCAAGCTCCAGGAATCAATTGAAATATTAGAGAAGAGTATCAAAGCACTCAAGTCAAACGCCTTGGACGATGTGCATCTGAGCACACGGTATGCTGCACTGCTAGAAATGCATGTCTCGCGCTTGCGGCGCAATCTACTTGCGTCGTCGAAAGTGGCGAAGAGTAGCCAAGACGCTACGCGAAGATCATCCATGGGACCCCCTCCTTGGCCGGGGCCAGACACTGGTGACCGGTCAAATTCCATGAGGGCCCCGGTAGTGCAGGACCCACCGCCAGATATGGGATACATCCCGTCCTTGAACGATATTGGGGCAGATAACTGGCTTTCGCTGCCCTTTGATCCATCGATGGCGCCATTTGATATGAGCCATGGATGTCAATTTCCGATGTATGAAGGTGGAACATTAGATTTTATTTGGAATCTTCCATCATGATAGAGTCAACTCTGCACACAGAATACTTAATTAAGTAGCTTTGTACATGGCCCTGGGTGGTCGCAATTACGCAATGTTGATAGAAGATATGGATGATACCCCAATTCAGACAATGTTACTCCGCCTTATCTTTCCCCGCACCAAACAACAACCAACATCGCAATTTCAACCAGCCCAATTACCTAGATACTAGGCAAAATGACGAACCCACCATCATTCAAACCAACCCTAATCATCCACGGCGGTGCGGGAAACATCCAACGCTCCAAACTCCCCCCAGACCTCTACGCCGCCCATCACGCCTCCCTCCAATCCTATCTCCGCTCAACACACGCCCTCCTCAAAAATGGCAGCACAGCACTAGATGCAGCGGTCCACGCCGTCGCCCTCCTCGAAGACGACCCCCTCTTCAACTGCGGCCGCGGCAGCGTCTTCACAACAGCCGGCACAATCGAAATGGAAGCCTCCATAATGGTGACATCTGTCCACCCCGACGCAACACAGCCAGGCACAATCAAACGCGGAGCAGGCGTGATGGGCCTCCGTAATGTGCGTCACCCGATCCGTCTCGCGCGGGAGTCGCTTCTCAGATCGGGTGTCACCGCTGATGGATCTCCTGTAGATGACGGGGGGAGTATGCATTCCCAGCTCGTTGCTCCATATGTTGAGAATCTTGCTCGGGATTGGGGATTGGAGTTTTGTTCCGATGAATGGTTCTTCACGCAGAAGAGGTGGGATGAGCATATCAGGGGATTGAAGGGCGAGGAGGAGCCTGTCTTTCTAACTCAGGGGACTGTGGGATGTGTCTGTCTTGATCAGTGGGGAAACCTGGCTGTTGCTACTAGTACCGGTGGTTTGACGAATAAACTGCCTGGGAGAATTGGTGACACGCCTACGCTAGGAGCTGGGTTCTGGGCCGAGTCTTGGGATGAGATTGTCTCGGGTGGTGGTGAGGCAGTGCCGGAAGATTCCTCGGTGGGTAGCTTGCTACGCGAGGCGAGGAATTGGCTGGGGGATTGCATGCCATCGTTCTTGCGAGATCAGGCCCTACCTAGTTACTCGCCAATTTCGGGTGATGGTTCATCCCGACAGCTGGACTTTGGGTCTGAGAAGGCTTGTCATCTTTATAAACCTTCTGCTCAATACTCTAGCCGGCGGGCCATCGCAGTCTCTGGGACTGGGAATGGAGACTCGTTCCTTCGGGTTGCGGCTGCGCGCACGGTTGCTGCAATGCTACGGTTTTCTTCGCCCGGTGTCTTCCCTTTTGGCCTTGCAGACGCAGTGACGGCTGTTACTGGGCCTGGTGGTGAACTTCAACGTTCGGCCGGCTCCAGGTGGAACAAGACTGGTGAGGGCGAAGGAGGTATTATTGGTATAGAGGCACGGATTTCCCCTGTGAACAGGGCATCCGATGTCAAACTACATCGGGGCAAGGTTGTATTCGACTTCAATTGTGGTGGTATGTGGCGTGCTTGGATAGAAGAGGATGCTGCTGGTAACGAAGTTGAGAGGATTATGGTCTTCCGAGAGCAATACCAATAGAATAGGAAGCACCTGTCAATTTGTTACAGAACTATAGTGTAAGGGAAGATTGGCGGTTGGATATTTCGTCTTGTATTAGTTGTCAAAACCCGTGACATTATCAGATTGTCTCACACGGGGTGTAATGGAATGCTATAGCTGTGGCTGCGACATGGACAGAAAGAAGTCGGCTACCCGGTGGAAAGATTCCTTAGGTGTCCAGGGCGGCATAGCATTCGACCTCGGGTCCCCATCCGGTAAGTATTTAACCAACGAGAAACACATCATGTCGAGGTCCCTTGGCCCTTCCCCTGTTCGCATGCACGGGAATGAAAACACATAGACGAAGACCGCATGAACTTCCGCAGCAGCAAGGAGATTGAGCTGTGTGCCGAGATAATCGGCCTGCTCCCGCTCGCTCCGAGTCGGGACGACGCCACCTTCGAAAACACCGCTCCCATCTGGATTCGTGCTCTTCAGAAGCATGAATCCGCCGTCACCGCGGTCAGCAGCTCCCTCATAGGCGCAGCAACCAACCTCCATAACGGCAAGAGGCTTGTCGCACCTATGACGCTCGTTACCAGCAACATATTCCTCTTTAGTCTCCCCCGGCGATAGTAGTCGATACCGACGATGTCGAATATGTCCCAGTCTACCAGTTCCCAGGTGCCAGCCGAATATGTCAATAGCCCACCAAACTTGGCGCGAATAACCTTCACGAAAGACCGCAGGACTTTGTTTAATTCCACGCACTTATCGCGTAAGACCTGCGGAACATCTCTAGTCATTTGGCCACCAGGGAACTGAGCGCCGAGCCACATTGCACGTTCATAGAAAGATTCACCAGGAAAAACCCCTTTGCTGAAGATCGTGTACTCGCAGCTGGCAACAAAAATAATCTCTACACCTTCGTTCCGCAGTCGCTCTGCGGTCTCCGCGGCGTTTTCAAAATAGGCGCGCGTCCCGTCGATGCCTTCGTTCATCTTCCACGGGTTAAAGAACACCGTGAGTCCCATCGAGTGAGCAGCCCGTGCGGCAGATTCCAGTCGATGGATCTCCTCTCCTTCGATCCGTACAGCATTGGCATGCATGTCGTTGGCAATAACGCGCATGTCGTACTCTACTAAGATGGGATCGAAGGGTTCGACGGAAAATCCCTGGTCTCCGAACCTCAGTCCGACGTCATAAACAACGCCGCGATACTTCATGGCTGATGTTGGGTGAACTGGCTCGATTAGGATTGAAGTACACTGAAACTCAGAGAGAGCAGGAAGAAGATTTGCTTACTGAAAGAGAGGAACTTTGAGTGGAAAGAGGGAGGAGCTAAGATAACTTGATATGCCGGAACACTAGCTACCATAAAGACTTTCCATTGCCAGCTGGGGATCCGCGATTCAAATATCAATTACCATTCAGGACCCCATAGGATATAAATCCCTCGTGTGGGAATCATGGACCCCGCGGGGCGAAGCTAATAGTAGAATAGTGTAGGGTTCCATGATAGTATGAAGTGCTGAATTTTGATAGAACGGACGCCAAGACTCCGCAGTCCGGGAGGTCCACGGGTGGCTGCAGGGGCTGTCCATGCGGGCTTCGGCCTCTTGGCGTTCCGCGCATCCGTGAAGACTCGGCCATTTCTCTTCGCACTTTCCAGCACTGTGGTCGGGCAGTTCTCCTGATGACTCTGTCATTTCAGAGCAAAATGTTAGGGTTCGGCTTCTAACCTATCTTCCGATATCACATTGGCGACCCTTACGGAGCTTCTTGTAATGATGCCAGGCACCCCTTCCGACAGCGGGAGTAGCCCCACAGACCAAGCGCCAAGGGAAAAAGATGATACTCAGGGTCGTGTGCTAGAAGAGGACCTACTTTCGCAATGGAATGGTCACGAGGGGCACGAGATTGTGGCAACCGAGAAGGTGGCTGTAAGGGCTCCCCGTTGCTTTTATCATATTCAATCGTACACAGTGTTTGAATGCTGACCCTAACTGTAGTGTGATCGTTGCCGTAGGCGAAAGGTGTGTCTCCTACAATTAGAATTAGCTGGTGGTACAGCAGAGATTTCACCTAGAGAGGCCCAACATGGCGAACTTGCTGCTGACTCTTTTTGTCCGACAGACCAAGTGTGATCGCGTTAACCCGTGTTCGCAATGCATCAAGACGGGATCGCAATGTACCTATCAGCTAGGCCAGAAAGTCAAGGAAAAGCGCCAACGGGTTCTCATCTCGAGTGTATAGTAAGTTCGTACCGCACATTCAACTCTGGGACTTATACTCAAGTCTATGTATCGAGTCACTAAATCACCAATTTGCAACATCAGCGAGAGTAGAATGGAGCACATTTCGAACAAAATTGACGACCTCAGCGAGATGATGAGACATCTAAGTCATGAGCGGTCCAGTAACGGTGGCCCTGCAACGTCAGCTGCATTGCAACCCCCATTACATTCCTCGTTTCGGTCTAGTAAGTCGCGAGTCGCTGCCAGCGGTAACAAAACAGGCGCTAGGAACCACCACCAGCCTTCAATAGAAGCTGGAGGCATCGAATCCACGCTACTCGCCCATGTCATCTTTGCAACTAGGTTTCTCCAAACTGTCGTGGCAAATGACCCATATTCGAAGGTCGCTGCTGAAATGACCTCAGTGCTGGATGCCCTGCGGAGCACGGTCAACGTTCAGAAGCAGCAGAATGAAACGCTGGAAGATTCACCTCCATTCTCGAAAGCCCTTCCTCCAGGTCTTAGTTTCAGGGATCTGCCTATACCTTCCATGGACCGAATCCTGGCATGCTTAAGGATCGCACACGGTTCGTGCGCTTTATTCGTAGCTTAAGTTGGGCCTTCTGCTAACTATTTAGAAGAGCGGTCATCCAATGAGGTCTATTGGCCTTTCGAGTTTGGATCTCTGGGCGACTTTACCCAATACGTCATCAAGGCCTGCTCGCCCGGACCAGTAACGGATACGGAGCTGATAATTGCCCACTATGGACTTGAATTGCTTTTCACCGAGTGCTCGAGTGTCACTGGAGACGATGCAGTCAAGCATGAGTATGAGGCACAAGCACTCATCTGCAGCGACAGTCTCGAAACTATCCTATCCAACCTCCCCTTCCACATCACTACGAATATAGTCTCAGTGTGTGCCATGTATATGGCGGTATGTTCATCCCTTCAATCTTCACCGTCTTTGTTTATGGCATCTCTGATTCTCAATGCCAAATCAAACAGACTATTTACAGCCTCAGACATGGCAAACCCTTCGCGGCGTGGTCATTTATTTCTAGGGCTTCACTAATGGCCCAGGCCCTTGGGTTGCATAGCAAGCTTGCCATGACAACCGAACCAGCAGAAGAAGGGCAGCGAGGAATACGACTGTTCTGGGCCCTCTATGTCCTTGAGAAGGCAGTATCGCTACGTCTCGGTAGACCCTCCACTATCAGAGACCATGACATCACGGTGCCGCGACTGCCCCTCGACCGCAAGATGACTTCCCTGCTACATAACAGGCTACCTGACTGGATCGAGGTGGCCAGCCTCTACGGACGAGTGTATGACAATATATATAGCCCGAATGCGCTGGTGCAGCCAGTCTCCACTCGCGAATCTCGTACCAGAGCCTTGGCTGCGGAGCTCGAGAGAATAATGGCCGCAAGAGTTGAGTTCTATGTAAGCTGTTCCCAACCGCTTTTTCTATGCATAACCTCGGATAAGAAGGCAACGTCCGATCCCTACCTTTACTCTCCGGCTAATTTTGGGGTTCAGAAACGGCCAAATCAGTGGACTAGCCATGTGGTACATCCTGGGCCGAGTAGATTCATCATACATGCCAACAGAGCTATCGAGTACTCTATCTTGGCCTCCATCTATAGAGGGATTCCATCGGGACAATCTTCTAGCTTGGCGCCTTGTCCAGAATGTATCTCAGCTGCAAGAGTCACGCTCAAAGAGATCGAAGTGTGCATGAGCATGCTCGCAGACGCGGCGTTGTGGTCTCCCAGCCTAGACATATGGGTCAACGAAATCATCCTGTTAGCGCCGTTCATGCCATTTTTAATCCTGTTCTGCAGCATCGTCGAGACGTCGAACTCATCTGACTTGGATCGGCTACGACAATTGGTTGACAGCTTGCAGTCGATGGCACAATCCCCTCGCTATTCCGCCTGCAGTAAACAACTACGAATTTTGAAGGCCCTGTATGACGTTGCCGCGAAGTACGTTGAGGCCAAAGCGAAAGGGCAATCAGGAGACGTGCCTAGCGATCCCTTTACCGACCTGGACATGGACACGTACTTGAACAGCAACACTGTTTGGTTTGGTGCTGATTCACACTCACCTGGGGTATCCACGGCACCGGATATTTGGTCGCTCAATGGGACTGAAACGCCAGCGGTGGCTTCTTCTGCTGGAACAACAGAGGGCCAAGGCCAACAAGTCATGAACCAAGCGTTGAACTTTCAGCCAAGAGCGACTATGTCGGCGATGCAACAGCAGATACCTTATGATTTAACCATGGAGCTAGATATGCCAGGGGTCCAGCTGGGAAGATGGTTTTATCAGAGTCATCAAATGATGAGGCTCCTGGATGATTCTTGAATATTGGCTGTGTTTATCATTCGGGAAAGCCAAGGTCTGCTAGACGTCGGTATATCCCCACGGATGGATATATGGACCTCATGTCGACATGGATTACGTAAACAAAATACTCAAAAATAACCAACATAACTTATGCAAGTCAACCTTGGAACGAGATTAGATTTATAGACGCGTTCGGGACCTGGGCACTTGCTGGTGATGTTCTGGGTGAACCCTCCAAGGTTGGAAGCTTGAAATTAAGGCGGTGAGCGCAACTTCTATTCAACATTGAAGTCTAGCAAAACCAGATGGATCACGGCGAGCACCTCATGTGTTCCAGTAAGGCAATTGAGCCTCCCGAGATTAAGATGACTGAAGAAACAAATACTAGAAGAACGCGGGCAAGTCATCCAAAGGTTCGGTCTGGCTGTCAAGCGTGCAAGTAAGTAAGCTAACACGTGGGCGACTGACGAGATCCCCGGTAACTAATATATCACTTTCCAGAATTCGGCGCAAAAAGTGCGATGAAACGTACCCCTCATGTCTAAAATGCACCAACACGGGCCGAGTATGTGAATACGTGGAGACTCCGGACCGACGTAAACGCGCAATGCGAGACATACAGGTCATCAGCCCGGCCCCAAACACGGCCCAAACCGCGGCCCCCTACTCGGCCCCCCATTCAGCCCCCGGTTATTTCGTTCCACGACGGTTACTCGATCCAAGTCAAGTGGATCTTTCACGCGCCGAACGATGGTATTTCGATTTATTCAAGACACATACTTCTACAAAATGCACAGGATATATGGTCGATGACTTCTGGCAGCGAGTCGTTCACCAGGTCGCCTTGGAGGAACCTGCTGTGCGACATGCAGCCATTGCTTTAAGTTCTATGCATTGGCAATTTATGCAAGATACCGAATCTTTCAAATCGAAATCCCTGGTTAAGGCTAAGCCTAGGGTAAATAAAATCCCGTCTTTCACGCTAGCGCAGTGCACCAAGGCCATTGTTTCTCTGCGGCAGAGACTAACGGAGGGATATACATATACGACAAGCAGCGCGCATAGAGAGGCAGTGCTTGTTTCATGTATTATGCTAGTGTCGCTATCTCTCTTCCAGGGTGATGTTAAGGCCGTGACCTCGCACCTACGGTCTGGTTATAATGTGCTTATGGAATGGCAAAAGGTCAATTTTGACGGGAATTCCTCAGGACCGGTCCTAATGCGCACATTTTCAGAGCTACAGCTACACCGGCTTACGTTCTCTCAATCACTGAACGATGTAGATGCAGAAGCGGATGATCTACCGCTCTGGCAGGCGATTACCGTATGCCGACCGGTATATGGGCATTCGGGGGTGTCTGAAATTGATTATGTGATCGTCATTGGGGCAGCTATCACGGCGAATTATCCACAGGGACTCGAACTCCGCGTAGGATCTAGCCTACAGGGGTTGAACGCCGCCCTTGCCGATCTACTCTATCAGAATAGTGTGGAAAAGACTACCGAGGAGAGATTAATGAACTGGAAGAGCGAGTTCAATGCTTTCATCTTGACACATAGGGATACTTTATCACCACAAGACCGCGGCCCGATTATACTGCTCGAGCTATGGACTATGTGCTGTGACACCATACTTGATGCTCTTAGGAACCCGCTGGATGAGATGGCTCACGATTCCTTTTTGCCCCTCTTCCAGCGGATGAACGAGTTGGCGGCACTTTACTTGAGCTTAGCAGAGCAAGCTTCCATGTTCTCCACTAAACCTATGCTGCTACAAATACTATATTTCGTTGCCTGTAAATGCCGCGACTGGCATACGCGCCGGGAGACAGTACGCCTATTGCGTGATTTCCCGCGACGAGAAGGTCTCTGGACGTCAGATCATTACCTCGCCGTCGTGGAATACGTTATCAAACAGGAGTCTGCTGGTTTGACGCCTAGTGACTTGATTCCACGCACAGCTCGTATTGATCTGATGCATTTCAATCCTGTGGATCAGAACAAGTTCAATTTATCTTATCATCGACCTTGCACTCCCGAGGAGGTTGCCAATGGTGCCGATTTCACTAACGGAAAATGGACAACCGTGATGTTATCAGCTTAATGGCACCAGCGAATCAAAACGGAAGCCAAAAAACCAACTACGCAACTAGCAAAAAGCTAGCATCTGGAACTTTGGCCGTTTTTTGTTGATCAAAGAACTGGCTGTGAACAACAAGGAAGGGTTGTGACATGATACTATCTCGTCAGCTGGTCTCCCGAGGTCAGGTCGCAATGGGTTTGGTTGTGTCAGGCTGTTCAGGCAGCGCCGTGAATGGGATCAGTTGCTTAGTTCTCAGTGAGCAACAACCGGCAAGGGTTGAGCACTAAAACGGAAAGTGAAAGCCCAGACATTATTGCAGAGGCCGAGGAGTGTATAGTATTCCCAACGATCACTAATGAATATATATCCGTGTAAATCAACTGTCAAGCACGGTATCTCCATCTCCTATGACACTCCGATAACTCGCCTTGAACGGTGTTAACACAAAATCACCCAAAGGACTAGCAATCTATATCACAAAAGACCATGTAAAACCAAAGCAAATGTATGATTCAGATCTACCACCCCTCCAACGGTGTAAGCAAGGCAAGTACTCCGTCTTTAGGTGAAGTAGTAACCCCCTCCCGAATCTCTAACTTGGCATCAGGAAACTTGAGCTCCATATGAAAACGGCCGACAGTAGCAGCAACCAAGCAAGCAAGCTCCGCCTTAGCAAAGTCCTGCCCAATGCACGCACGTGGACCATGCAGGAAACTCAAAAAGGCATAATTACTAACTGCACCGCCAGTGTTAGCCTTACCTGGGCCCATAAAGCGGTCCGGATTGAATTCGTTCGCGTCTGGTCCCCACAGCTCTTCGAGTCGGTTGATAAGTTGCGGAGACAACGTGAGCGTGGTACCCTTGGGAACATGTGTACCAGCAATACTTGTATCCCGAACCGCCACGCGATTGATTGTTGGCACAGAGGGGTGGAAACGGAGGACCTCGTTGCACACTGCATGTAGGTATGGCAGATTATCGATCGCGGCTGCGGAGATTGGAGTCGGATCGTCCACGGAGGGAAGATTAGCGCGGATTTCATCCCGTAGACGAGTTTGGACGTTGGGGTTTTTGCAGAGTGCGTAAACAGCCCACTGTAGTGCTGAGGCGGTTGTCTCGTGGCCCGCGCCTAGGAATGTCATGGATTGGTCAACGAGGTTCTCTTCGTCGAAGGTGCCGCTGGTGAGTGCAACGGAGATAATGTCAATGCCGGTTTCCGAATTAGGGTCTTCCATTTTTGCTTTCTTCTGTCGGATCAATTGTCGTGCGACGTTGCGGATGACCTTGCTACTCTCCTTGACATCTTTGTTGCGTTTCGTCGGTAATGAATGGATCCACGCTGGGTTTCCGAATAGCATACTTAGGACAAAAAGGATTTTCATGATAAGTGATAGCGATGGCGTGAGTTTGCGGTAGGATTGGTTGAGAGTGTTATTAGGATCACGGAGAGAGTCGAAGTCGTGGTCCATCCCGGCAACGCCGATGATATCCAAGCTTGCTCGACTAGCCCAGTTACGGATTTGGACTGTATTATCATTATTACCACTGGCCTTTCTGCTCTGTAGGTCTTTCTCAATCATCTTGACCATTTCTATACTCTTGTCCCAAAAGACTGGATAGAGGTTCTTGATGTGGCGATAGGCAAAGGCTGGCAGCAGATTCTTGCGTTGCGTCTAGTGAAGATATTGTGAGTTTGAATCTATGCAGAGTAGCAGCTGAAGGGTCAAATTTACCTTATGCTGTTCACCTTCGGCAAATAGGATGCCATCACCTGCAATGCGCCGCAAAGCTTGCCGAACCAATTCGTGGTTTTGAAAGTCGTAAACTTTCGTAACAAGCACCTCGCCCAATGCTTTCGGGCTTGTTACAGCTACTATTTCGAGGTTTGCGATCATATAGTACCGGATGAGACCTTGATCGGGCCTATTCTTCACCGACTCCCGTAGCTTTAGATAGGGAGCCTCAAGCAGGAAACTTGTCGAATTGCCCCTCAGCCAGTGACGTTCCTAGATATTATTAGGCACATTTATCGGACCCGTAATAATGATGAACAGCCTACCGCAGGTGAATAAATGTGTTTCAAGGGAGTAAAATAATCGGGATACAACACAAGTTGATAAACAATCCTTGACACAGTAACGATACCGAATAGGACAGCGCCTGTCACAATCCTGGAATTGAAAATAGCATACTCTGGCTTGAGGTATATCACCGCAGCGAGGCCAACATAGAGCATGGTGAAGCTGTCACTGATATATCCCATTGCTAGGGGTTTCTAGAGGAACCGGGGGAAACAGATACTGTAATTTGACGGCTCGAATCTCACATAGAGCAGAGAATATTAGGCAGGATTTTCCTGGGTATCAGACTGTCTCAATTCCACTTAGTTCCCCAGTACTAGGACGAGTAGGAGCTCCGTGTGGAGTGTAGATGATATGACAAAGTGCTTGGCTCTCGTCTTGGCTCAATGGACCTGTATCCTTTACAGAGTACTTCGTTCAGTCTCGGAGACACCAATGCACAATGGAAAGAATTTATATGACTTTTGCAGAGGTGAGAAGAGTTTGATTCGGAAAAAAAAGCCGCAAGGGATGACACAGGTTCTAAGGTTGCAAACAGATAAAACTCAAACACAATAACAAGATTTGAACCATTGCAAGGTTCTAACATAAAAGGAGAATCTCAGTGGATTGGAGGAGAATGTTTTTCATGATCTCTTAGTACGGAGTAAGGGATTCATTCAAACTTAGCCCCTTGCAATCAATACCGGATTAAGTCATACTGGATCCGCGAACAGACCCCATCTTCCATGACATGGCGAATTATACAACGACACATAATAACCCGAAAAATTGTGTCATGCATGCATGTATAAATTTACATTATTCGAATGTCAGCTTGCATTGGATCTCCAAGGAGCCACCTAGCTCCTACC